TCTCTTTTCTCCCTTCTTCCTTCTCTCCCTCCCTCCCTCTCTCTTTCTTTCTTCTATGAATAGTCTTCGGTGATACAAGTGACATATGAAAAACCTTAAAATATTTCTATTATTTTTTCATGTACTATTTGCTGTATCTGTTGTCTTTGGTTATCACAAATATAAACATTCAGTTTTTCATGTTAGTATTCTTTTGCCAAATTGATCTGGATATCAGCTTAATTTAGCATTAATTGCTTTATGTTGTGTGCTATCATTTGTCTTGTTATACTATTGGATGTTAGTCATATTGCATCATTATTGTTTTATGCAGCCTGAGCATTTCGTCTCATATGGATAGACATCAGATCACAAATATCAAGACTTTAGAACAGGGGCAAATGTTTTCTGTAAAGGGCCAGACAATAAATATTTTTGGCTTTGTGGGTCCTATAGTCTGTGTCTTAGCTACTTTGATGTTTTGTGTCAAAGCAGCCACTTATGTAAATGAATGGCCATGACTGTATTCTAGTTAAACTTTATTTAACAAAAGCAGGTCACTGGACTGATTTGCCTGTGGGATCTATGACCAAGCTCTGGAGCAAGGTTCACAGACTTTGTTGTAGGGTCTAGGCAGGCAGGTACTGCAGATGAGCAAAGTGAAGTGACTGTCTGGGGTCTGTGACTAGCAAAGACCACATACCTTGTCTAAAAAGGGCAGCTGTTTCTTACCTATAGTGGCTTGTGATTGGCTTAGTAATACCTGATCTTGTAATTCAGTAATGGCTGAGGATTTGGATTTTTATGTAAAGTACTTTTGTCAGTTGCCAATTTATTTAGATTTGTTAAGGAAATATTGTACTGGTCAAGCTATACACCGTTGTGAGTTCTTTTCTGATCCACAAGCTCTAGTTCAGCGACTTCTGTTATCTTCAAGTGTAACAATGTATATAAGTATGAACTGCCTATAGAATGCCATCAGGCATGGATAGCAACTATCTAGTGCTGATGCTGCCACTAACGCTTCTGGTGCCCATGAGATCATGACATTCTTTCTTGCTAAGCCTGTAGAAAGTTTCAGAAGTCTTCTCTACCAAGGCTCAGAAAAACCACAACCAACCAATCAGTTGTGTCCCATGATATGTAAGGTATTTGTTATCCCTACTTTGGAGGATTAAAAAAAAATGTTTTGTTTTGTTTTTTGGATTAACCTAGGAAAGGATTCAATGAACTTTTTATTATTATATGAAATTATTCTTTAAAAAAATCTAATTAAAAGATGCTCTTAATTAAAAGTATTTGAGAAAACATGTATTAGAACAGCAATTATGAAAAAAGTAAGATTCTATTAATATGGCAATATTAGATTTTAGATTCAAACTTAGGGGAGTGAAGAATATCCAAAGTAGGATGTGTCCTTAAAAGTCACTTAGCAGCATTCCTTTCTTGCAGAATCATGCACTTGAACTTCTGGCCTGTTCTTTTTCACCATACCTAGGACACAGTAATATGAATGAGTAGTTAAAAAGGAGAGCTGCATTTTTTCCTTTCTTTTCCTGCCTTTAACCCTTGTGTGCCGTTGCTGTAGTGCAAGATGTTCAGAATTTAGGGATTCTGTGTATGGGTATATGCCATCTGGGATGTATGAACTTTTGAATTGTTTACATAGTGTGTATACGATGCAACCTAAGTAAAACATACTTTGTTGTCAATTATGATGGCATAAAATTTTGCATCTTTTTTGTCTCCTTCGTTACTTCTTATTCTACCCTCTGCTAGTCTAAACACTTTTGTCTTTCAGGTTTGACCTTCTTTAGGTATTCGGCTCTAACTATTTATATCTTTATATTTAGATATTTTTATTTTTATATCTAACTTGTTGAACCCCTCCCTTCTTAAACTTCTTTAGCTTTGAGGACTGTACTACAGTGCCATGCTTTCTTATGTTCTTTGGTTTAATTTTAGGTATTTTTGTTTTTTCTTCCAAAGTACAATAAGGACTGAATGGTGTGAACTGAATAACGTTTTGTTTAATCAAGGAACTAGTATCAGGGTTCATTGAATGCTTTCTATGTGCTGGTCACTACGGCTTGAGTTGTGGATTAAATAGAAAAATGAACTCTGCTCTTGAAGACCAGAGTCTAATACAGCAGTTTAAAGTCTGATGGAATTTAAATTTAAAATGTCCCCTTGGTGTAGTAATCAGTAATGAGCATCTGCAGTTCCACTGGAAGTAAAGCTTCCTTGAAGGGGCACAGCTCTTTGTTTCAGTCACTGATACACTGATAGATCCTAAGTGCTTGGCACAATGACCAGTATATTGTAAGTGCTCAATAAGTATTTATTTATTTATTTTTGATACAAGGCCTCGCTGTATCATCCAAGCTCGAGTGCAGTGGCATGATCATAGGTCACTGCAGCCTAGAACTCCTGGGCTCAAGGGATCCTCCTACTCCACTAGCTAGGACTATGGCATGCAGCACCATACTCGGCTAATCTTATTTTATTTTTTCCTAGTAGAGATTGAGTCTTGCTATGTTCTACAGGTTGGTCTTGAACTCTTGACCTTAAACAGTTCTTCTGCCTTAGCCTCCCAAAGTGCTGGGATTCCAGGTGTAAGCCACTGCACCTGGCCAATAAATATTTCTTAAATGAACTTTTAAATATTTCTTAAACGTGGAGTTATTCCTGTAAGACTGTGATTATAGGCGAATCATAGTTTGTACCTTCTACTTCCTTTATGTGTGTCTTCCACTCTTATGCCCCAGAAAAGTCAGTCTTGAGTATCCTTCTAGAAATATTATATGTACTTTATTTTTTAGTATGAATTATAGCCTATTTTTTTATTTAAAAAATAAATCAGGTCATTTCATATCATTGCCTAATCATATTATTTTTAGCGGCTACATAGTCTTTTATAATCTGGACATATCATACTTTGTTTAATCAGAAACCTCTTGATGAATATTTAAGTTATATCTGACTTTTTGCTCTTGTAAACAATACTACAATAAATTTGCTTGCAGTGGTCATTTTATAACCCCTGAAGATAGGAATTTTAATATGCATTACTAAATGTGGAATTCCTATAAGGGTCAAAGAGTTTATACATTTGTAATTTTGGTAATATTGCCAAATTTTCCTCTACAACGAGTAGAAGTGTGCCATTTTGCTATACTCTTACTGCTAGAGTATTTTTCAAACTGTTTGATCTTTTCTGATTTGGGAGGTGAAAAATCTCTCTTATGATTCTAATTTACATTTGTGTGAATACATTGGAACAACTTCTTATAAGTTTATGAGCCAGTTTAATTTCCTTTTATGTGTTGTGCCTTTATAACATTTGCCCATTTTTTAACTTGTCTATTGATCTTTATTGTTAGGTAAGGAACTCTTTATATATTAGGAAAAACATTTCTTGGCTATTGTTGCTTATATATACTTCCATGTGCTTTATGGAAGCAGCTTTTGTAGTTACCAACCCCACTCATTTAAAAAACAATCCTATTGTGTTTTTAAATCTTGATTGTGTCAAATTTCTAGATGAATTTAATGAAATGTCATTTCCATAATGTTCAGTTTTATTTCCCAAGAAGCATGTCTCTACATCTGCTTAAATTTTTTGTATGCTTTTCAGTAGCATTTTAAAGTTTTTCTTCATGTAGACAATGCATGCATAACAGTCTTACTAGATAATTTAATAAATGGGATGTTTGTTTATATTTATAGAGGTTAATAATTACTGCGATTTAATTTTGTAGCTAACTTTTCTTAATTTGTCTGTTTTTTGAGATATATTTTTCCTCATTGATTTGTAGATAAATATATTCTCTGCAATTTTTTAAAATTTAAAAACTTTTATATTTCTTATTTTGTCTAATTAGGGCTGCTCTGTTATATTCCAGAGGGCACCACTGTGTTGGCCATTCCTTTTAGAATAGTGATAATTCATTGTGGTGATAAAGAGCATCTTTTTCTAATTCTTAACTTTGGGAATGTTTCTAATGTTTCTCTTTTCTCTATTAAAATCGGATGCTGGTTCTGGGGTTGAGACAGAGCTACATTTTTATCATGTGAAGGAAGTAGCTATTTATTCCTATTTTATTAAGGTTTTTATCATGAAAGGATATTTATCAAATATTTATCAAATATTTTTGTGTCACCAGAGTGATGACTCATGATTTTTTTGTTTTGTTTTGATTTATGAGTTTGATGAATTTAAGTATAAGTTTTTACACATTCAGCTATCTTTGTATTCCCAGGATAAGTTCTACTTGGTCATGGAATGTTATTTTTTTAATATGCTGCCAATTTTCATGTATTTTATTTAGGAATTTTGTGTTGATTTTCAGATATGAGATTGGTATGTTTATGCATTGTCTTTTAGGGTTTTCATACATATTTTTCTATTTTCATGAAAAGAATTTGGAAACTTTTATTTTTCTATACTTTTAAACAATTTTCTTTTACCTTTCTTGGTATCAGTGGTTATTTCCTCCTTATTTTATTTAAGGCTAGATATGGTAACTCAGTCCTTTAATCCCAGTGTTTTGGGAATCCGAACTGGGAGGATTGCTTGAGCCCAGGAGTTTGAGACCACCTTAGGCAACATAGTGAGACCTTGTCTCTACAAAAAGATGAAAAAAATAAGCTGAGCATGGTGGCATGCACATGTAGTCCTTGCTACTCAGGAGGCTGAAGCAGAGGGATCGTCTGAGCCCAGAAGGTCAAGACTGTGGTGAGCCATGTATTGTGCCAGGGTACTCCAGCTTTGGTGACAGTGTAAGACCCTAATTCAAAAACAAAAAACCAAGAAACTAAAGATTTTTTGATGAAAAAATAAGTGACACGTTAAATTCATCCTAGAATGTCTTTTTAAAAAATATGACATAAAAGGAGGATATATTTCAGTTATCATCCATCTTTCATTAAAGTATCAATTATTTCTAAAATAATTATTGTAAAACCCAGAAGTTTATGTTAAACATTTCGTTTCTGATCACGTTCTTCTCTTTTGACAGGTCCTGAAGAGGAAAGCGAGGATGACTCTCATCTTGAAGGCAGAGATCCTGATACTTGGCATGTTGGTTTTAAGATCTCATGGGACATAGAGACACCAGGATTGGCAATACCACTTCACCAAGGAGACTGCTATTTTATGCTTGGTAATCTTAGGAGATTCAAAATTATATTGATGCCCTAGGGTCTAAATTTAGATTATTGGGTGTACATATTTTGAGTATGTTTTTTGAAATAAGCTTTTTGAGTATTTTATATCAATAATGAAATCTCTTTATAAGAACATGTAACCAATTTTTTTTAGATACTGCTAAAGTTTTAAAAGTTGCTTTTCTTTTTAAGCATTTATGTAGTTCCCTAAATGTCCTAAACAATTTTCAGGGTTCTTCGTTAGAGCTTTTAAATCTGCCAAGTCAACTTATCAGTGATAATTTTAAAAAATACTTCCCTGTCTGTATAAGTTTTTAGTAGTGAGAGTTTTTTCTAGTTTTGAATTTGTTTTCTTCTCAGGAACAGCTGACCTCACAATGGGACTTTTCTCTTCACTGGTCATTTAGTTCATTAGGAAGCAATATTTCAGCTGTGGTTAAGCTAACCGAAGCTGTGGTGTTTTTGGGGCTTTGCTTTTTGCTTCTGTGTTGTAAGTTTTTTGTTTTTTGAGTTTCTACTTGTTTTCCGATGCACAGTGTACAAACAGTATTCTTTTTTACTCACAAAGCTTCTCAGGGTTTATTCTCTACTTAGCTCTAATTTCAGGGTATATCTCATTCCTAACTGCCTGGGGAAATCTACTCATATGTTGGTTTTGGAGCCAGGAAGAACCAGCGTTCAAGCCAAGTATTTATGATAAGAGTTAATTTCCAGTTAATTGGGTATTTGTAGAGTCCTCTACATTCCAGGTACTGTGTAAGGTTCTAGTTGAGATTTTGGAGGTGGGTAATTTTTGGTCCTTGCCTTTTAGATATTTACAGTATGGAATAGCTCTTTAGGCTGTTGCTCATTGAGTGTTTTCCAAATCTCAGTGCTTTGCATTTCAGCTTCGAAGTTTTTGTCATATCCACACACTACTTAAACAATTATTTGCATACTCTTTCTCTCTAAATAAACTAATTTTTTAATCTTTCACTGAAATGAATTTATTTTAAAGGGAAATTTTTATACCACTATCTTAAATGGAAATCCAGTATCACTTGACACAATTAGAAGTGTTTTATAAATATAAATCTAGAGAAACTAAAACAGTATTAAGTGTCTGTTACTTTTATTTGCTAGATCCTGTGTCTGAGTCCTGTTTGTTGTTAAAAAGAGGAGATTAGTAACTGTTAGAGAGATGTTACCCATGTCAAGGTAACAATCTGAGACTTTCTCCTTCATGTCTGCAAGAAGGTTGGAAGATTGTTGTGGAGGGACTCCTTCTCCCAGTGTGATTCAGTGGAATTTAGTGTGTCCCTTTACCTCTTTTATTCTTCTCATGGGGTGATTCCTGTATTTGTTGAACACTTATCTAAGTAAGCCCTTAGTTTCTTGCCTTCCATTTGTATGCTGCCTTACAGTTTACACGTCAGTTTCAGAAGTAATCTCAATCTTCTTTGAGAAGAAAGATGGCAGAGATTGCTCTTAATTCTCCCAAGTTCACTTAGTTACTATGAGGCAGAGCAGGGACCAGAATGGTTTGCAGTCTTCATATGCAGTGCTTTTCCCATTCTAAATGGGTTCATTTTGATCTGATTCTGATACACAGAAATCTCCCTGTGGGAATGTATTTAGTGTTAAGGTTCTCTCTTCCCTTCTCTCTCTTGCCTGACCTCAGGGACTAGCTTTATATTCTAAAGTTCCTATCCTCTCATTCAGTGTCAGTTATAGGTAAACATTATTTCATTCTTAATATATCACACAAATGTGGACATTTGGCTTGAGACTAAATTAATAGGTATTAAATTCAACCAATAACTCACTTTCCTTTGGATACTTTGTTTAGGAGTTTCTATTAGCAATTTGCATCTTTAAAAGAAATGAAAGTCAGAATGGTGTCTTTTAAAATAACTATTATTTTAAAAAAATGTATAAAAGTAGTAAATTTACATTGTAAAAGTTCAGCTATATTCTATTATTTGATAACATCTGATGCGTTCTTCTCTGATTTAAAAAAGCAACATATGCTCATTGTAGAGAAAAGAAACCCCGGAAAGTATAAAATGAAAGAAGAATATAAAAATCAGGTTCATGCCTGATTTAGTCTATTTCTTTTCAACCTTTTTCTATACATATATGTGTCTGCAGTTTTAGTAGTAGTATGAATAAAAGCCACATTTATTGGGGACTAATGTCAAGAAGAAATTGAGGGTAAATTTATGTAGTTCCTTAGCCAAAGTTATACAGCTAGTAAGTAAGAAGCATGGATTGTATAATACCTTGTCACTTTATCTCACTTGGGGTCTGACACCCCATGTCAGGCAACCCCTCCTTCCCCTACATGGAGCCATCCTCATCCTACTCAAATGTGATTCCTGCTCTGGGCTTTTGTGCCCTTCTTGTCCCACCTCAGTGTAATTCCTCTGTCCCACCTAATGGCTTTATCACTAAATTGGTCAGGAAGGGAAGAAAAGAAGGAGATGACCATGTTCTGTTTATTTTTCTTTTCCATTTCCTTTTAAAGTCACATTTTTCTTGGGGTTTAAGAAATGGATTAATAATAAAAATATTAAAAGTTGTATTATTCATTTGACTTACATCATATCATGAATATATATTGTAAAATATACATTAGGTTCCTTCAGCTATTGTATGTGATAAACAGACTAACTTAGTGTTATTATTTTATAGGAGCAAATGTTCAAGATATAAAACCTCCTGATTTCCCACCTCCTGCCTTTAGACATAGGTGGAATAGTTAGTATCCTACTGAACTGTGCCAGGCACAGCACAATGTACTCCAAAGTCTGCAATTAAAATATATTTTATTAAGGTATCATATTTGATTTCTAAAATCTAAATTCTTCCGTCTCTTCTTTTATAAAAATTAAAAAATTAAAAGCAGTATGGTCTCATGCTGCCGTTTCTCTTTTAAATCAAAAGTGCACAAGGAGACCCATGAAGGGACCTCAGCCCTGTGCTGATATCTGAAATCTGAACTTCATAGCACTTATGAAAAGGAAACAGTTTAGCTCAATTTATAATAATATATTGGTCTGCAGAGGAAGTGCAGACTGAACCCTGCTGTCTCAAGTAAATACTTCAGGGGTGTCTGATGGGGAATGTGTCGGGTGCCTGTAATAAATCCACTGCCCATGGAAGTGAGTGAAGGCCCTGCTGGCAGCGCCTGAGGACACGCTTAACTGGGGTTGTCACGGTTTTACTTTTAAATTGGAATCTTTGCCCTAATCTCAGAGTTAGACATGACCAGATTTGCAAACAGATTTACAATTTTCACTAATTTACCAACCAGTACCTCAAAACACACTTAGAGAAAAAAATATACTCTGGTCTTTCTCAGAGTAGGATGATTTACTTTGCCACAGATGTTTTCCATAGACTGAGTGTAACCAGGGAGTTAGGGACTTAAAAGTGGCTTGGAGACAAACTGGGTTTGTTTTTTGTAGAACAGATTATACAGTTCAAGGGACATCAACACAATTATGTTCATTAACCAGGAGCTGGGTGTGGAGGTGAGATGTTTCAGAACAAAAGTGAGTGCTAGGTAAATGTTTGGGGCAAGCCCCCTTTTTCCCCCCTAGTTTACTGTTATTATTTTTCACATGTCACTATTCATGACTCTGTCCCCTCTGCTCTCTTTACTTTTGTTTTCTTAAACCCAACTAAATCTCACTTCCAAATGTCTGTTGTTACTATAACAATCAGCTGTTTCAAAGTCTCAGTTGCCAAGTCAAAATTCCGCTGCAAAAAAGAAAGAAGCAATTTAAATAGAAATATATAGCTTTTTTGGGGGGGGGGGTTTGCTTTACCTCACCAATAGTTTAGGGTAGAGGAATGAAGAGACCATGGGATTTTCTGTCAGTCGAACAGTTTCCAGACTCACTACAATATCTGTCGGCTATGTGTTGTTAGCTGCTTTCTCTGTAAACTGGGTGCTTAATGATATTTCTACCCCAGTGTTTTTGTGAGTACAAATAAGAAGGTATATGGGAAAGTACTTGGCAAGCTAGAATTTGAATGTGCAGACATATTGTGAAGATTGAGGCTTGTGCCACCGTGTATTGGTGAGCAACTGAGGCGAGTGATAGAAGAATGTCGAATGCTGTGTTTTATCCTGCTTTGTGCTTGAAGTTTTGTCAGCCTTGCACTGTTCTATATTTATATTTGACACACAAAGAAACTACAAGAAAGGGAAATCTCACCAATTGATTCTTAAGGGGGAGATGAATTAACAACACCTGACCATTGGTGAATCAGAGCCCAGTGGTAATCAGTCTTACTTTGGTTGAGTCTGACTTTACTTATAGAGCAGTTTTAAAAAATAGATTAAGTTCACCTTCCTTGAAGTGCCTATGGCTTAGGCAGTAAGACGTAGAGCACTGTGAATGTTTGATGTGGTCTAACCCCAAAATATGCCTTGCTTTTATTTTTTGAGTCAAAATGGCCACTCTATAGTCCCGTGAGCAGGAAGAACAGAAATGCCTCTCGGGTGTTTAAATTTCCTTAACTGGGAGCTCCCTTGGGACTTAACTTGGAAACTGTGTTATCTTTGTAAATCCTCCAGGTGTCCCTCAGTCTTGCCCTGATTTAGACATTTTATTCATAGGCAAGGGCTTTTGTTATTTCTTCCTCTGACTCCATTCCCTTCCTCCCCTAAGCTCTGACTGACCATCTGAAGTAAAAAGTACATATAATTTATGGCTTAATCATAAATTTAAAAATAATTATACTTTATTACCTCTCACGGGTCTTGAAATGTAGGTGCTATGTTCTGCTTTCTGCCGAGGCAAGGTATAATACAGAAACAGCAATAAATTATAACTTCAGGCTGCAGTCAGTAAGCTTGAGGAATTGCCATTTAAGTGGAAAGTGCTTGAACAGCCAAATGAGCACCTGTCATGTTTATTTTCACTTTGAAAAGTAGAAACATGACAGTATAGTTTCAACTGCTTGTCCAATGTGAACTTCTAGTGTTCTTGCTATCTTCTCAGCA